GGATATATTAGTCCTATACAACTGTAAAACCTACAAAGAACATCCACAAGAGTTAAGAACTTACAAAAACTAAAAGTTGGTTCACTTAGCACTTTCATTTTTCTTTGAGGAAAATTTTGTAAAAGTAGACAATTCAGTTTATCCTCTCCTAAAGATCAACATATAAAATCATCAAAACAGTTAGCAATATTTACTTCCTAAACAGGATTGTTTATGATGTGAATCAGAAATAATACAGCAATACAAACATGACTATATACATGCCTTGAGCCACTGAAACCCTGTCAAACATTGCCTTTAGACTAATCAGTACTCTATACTGATCCTTTATGATAAAGTCGAAGTTTTTTTTTTTCTTTTTGGTTTTTTGTTTAAATAATCTAAGTAAATAGAAAGATAATAGAGTAATTTCTATTTAGTATAGTTTATAATTTTTACAAGTTCAACACAAGCTTATAATTGTAATTGTTTGATATTTGTGAATTGCAAGTTTTATGCCTAACACAGGCTTAAAATCATGACTGTCTGAGTTTTTGTAAATTGCAAGTTTTATATTTTTCTTTTTTTTCATTTTCTTCTTTTCTTTTTTTATTTCTTGTTTTGTATCTTTTATCTTTATCTTTATATCTCTGTTTTTTTTTTTTACTTATTAAATCTTTTTTTGTTTTTTTGCTTTCCTATGAGAAGACATTATCAAATTGATGGTATCTTATTGTAAAGTAGCAGTTAGACAAGCAGTCTACTTCTGTTTAAGGTAGTGCAGCAGGTCATACTTAGATACTAATAAAGTGGCTAGATGATGCTAGATTTAAATATTAGAAAAATTCTTTGTAATCTGTATAGTATCAAAAATTCTAATAAAGTACTAGTATGACTGCTTAAGTTAAAAAAAAAAAAAAAGTTCAAAATTCACTAATAGTAAAAATTTAGATAATTAGTTATATAATATTTATATTATGATAACTGTTTTTAATAATTAAATTAAGATATCTATAATTATAGTTATATTAATATAACTGGTAGGTTATAGAACATCTGTATAACTAATTATATAAAGAAATACAAATTGATATTAAGCAGTGCAAACCCAAGATAAGTTCTTGTAACTGTATAAATTTATAAAAATTAAAGAACAAAAAGTCTATTTAAAAAAAACCAAATAAAGAGACAATATAAATTTTTAATAATATTACTATAAAGATTAGATCTAGAAAACAGATATTAATATACAATATCTGAATAAACAAAAACCTTTAAAATAAGAAGTACTATTAATCATGTTACTAAAATTTTAATTAAAAAAAACCAGAAAAAAATATTAAATTGATCTAATATACTAATAGACTGATTATAATCTTACTAAACTATTTAAATTAGAAATTTAAAAAAAATATAAGAATATACTAAAAATACTAGAAATATGTTATAAAATAAATATTAAAGTCTGAATAAACTCTACAAGAACAAGTTCTGTTAATAATCTATAGAATAGATAAATTAGTTAACAAAAAGACTTCCTAAACCCTATAATTAGATAATATGTTTTAAAATTAATAAATATACAAAAATAAAAACTTAATATTGAGTTAAATAGTACTTAGTTGTATGAGAATTAAGATAACTAATTGCTTAAATACAGTATAAAAACTAGAATGTTTAATTAAATAGTCTTCTAGTAGATTATAGATATAATAACTAGTATAGAACCTTCAAGCAGATTACTTAAATAAGTAACCAAAAGTTGTATATATGACTAGTTGTACACTTACTCTGTACAAATAATATATAATGTATTAACTAAAAACACAAATAAAAATATTAGCTGCTGTTAACGTTGGCCTTAATAAAAAAAAAATAAAATTTAGTTAGTGCAAAGTAAATAAGTTATTAAAAAATACAAAATTTCTATTTTTTATGTATTATAGATTAACTTTTAAAGTAGAATTTATATTTTAAAAAAATAGAAATAGGTTTTAAAAAGATTAAATAAAAACTTTAACTTTTATTTTGATTAATTTTATTATAATTTGCAAATAAATTCGATATTAATTGAGTTGTATTAACAATGAAGAAAGTTATTTAGATGCGACTTAGGTTTAAAGGATTGCGTGTTTACAAAATAAAGCCAAATGAAAGTCCAAATAACTATTAGCAAATTAAATTTGAATAAATATCTATAAATTATAGAGATTTGTTAATGTCATTCTCTTTATATAAAATATTTAATCTCCGACCTTTCAGACCCTAATTATTAATTAGGGTTAGATTATGTAAGAGGTGGCATTAACAAAAATAGAGGGTGGCACTAACAAGTCTTAAATTATATTTTATTATGTATAATAAAACATTATCTAATATTTGTATAATCTAAAGTGTAATTTAATTGGCTGAGCGAATATTTAGTATGAGAGAAGAGGCATCTTTATAGTAAATCGATCTTAGCTAATATCTGACAAAGCCCTTACAATAATATATTTTTATTTTTTATATAAATCACATTGTGCACTAAAGTCATATGACCCTTAAGAACCTAGTGCTGTAGTGGCAATTCTGAAATCAAGAAATTAAAAAATCAATTCCGGCCAAAAATTATGTATAATGCGGGCCAAGGTTTGAGTTTTATGTCAATGTCATCTTACACAAGTCACGGGCGTGATGGTTTCATTTCGCGCGAAATAAACGCGTACCTTCTCACGAACATAAATTCGTATAGATTCTAGTCACCTCTCTTGGAATTTGCACATTTTTTGAAAGTTACAATCTTGAATGCCTTTAAATGATTTGCCTCATAGCCAAATTGTTACTCCTTCTTCGGTGAGGTAAAATAGAGGCCAAGAGTTAAAGCTTTTTTTAGTAACACACGAATTTATTCTTTCTACATATTTTTCATGCAAATAGAGTAAAGTTGAATCCTGCATTTACTCCACTTGAGCTTCGTACGACATCGACTGTTAAGCCCGAAACATGTTATGATAAGGCCAGAGCGATGTTACAACTTGAAGAGGTGCCCGATCATTTGCCCTGTCGTGAGGAGGAGTACAAGCAGATTTATGACAAGGTAAAATCTGCAATCGAAGAATTTTCAGGACATCGAATTTGTGAGTTATTATTTGTCAGTTCTTTTTTTAAAATATATATATTTAATTCGCGAGTACAATAACTTTATGTAGTTATATCTGGCCAGCCCGGCACAGGAAAAACGGCAACCGTACGACAAGTTATAAAAAATCTACAAAAAAAAGTCAAACAAAAGGTTTTTTAGTTTAAATGCATATTTGTACACGCGACTACAGAAGATTTTACCTCGGTACTAATGTAAGCCGCTAATAGGAACTACATCCCTTCGAGTTTGTTGAAATTAATGGAATGGAAATGAAACCTCCAGAGAAAGCCTACTCTGCTTTATGGAAAGCTTTAACGGGAGATGGCATAGCTGTTAAAGCTGCTGAAGACTTATTATGCAAAACTTTTAATGAACCATCACAGCGAAATCCAATGTAATTTATTTTTATTGCACTGATTTGTAAATTGACAACTGTCGCTCTTCGCTAATAGTGTATTTACTTATGATTGACAGTGTGTTAATGATTGATGAATTTGATGTCATGGTTACTAAAACGAACAGAGTGATTTATAACTTTTTGGAGTGGACAACTTTACAAGATTCGTATCTTATTGTTATTGCCTTAACTAATAGGATTGACCTGCCCGTTACAATGTTGTCAGCCAGAAGTGAAAGTCGAATAGGTATGTGTAGTTTGATTGTAATTTTGTCTTTAAAAAAAAACCAAAAAAAAACTCACTTTTTTTTGTAAAGGTTTGGATAGATTGACTTTCGCACCATATACACACACGGAATTATATACTATAGTAAAATCACGACTTGAAGGAATTGAATTGTTTGAAAATAATGCTATTGAATTTGTGGCAAGGAAAGTCAGTTCTATCTCACAAGATGCAAGGAATGCTTTATGTATTTGCAGGTTAATTCTATATTTTATCTTCCGAGGGTGTCTCATCTATTTGCATCTATTAACGAATGATTGTCTTTCAGGCGTGCTATAGGAATCCTTGAATTTTTAGCAAAGACAAATGATGAAGCAAACAATAAGGTTACCATCGACATAGTTAAAGAGGCCATAAAAAAAACGAATACCCCGTGGTCGAAATACATCAGAAAATGTTCTTTTCGTGCGAAAATGTTTCTATGCACCTTATTGCTATTGCGGAGGGATGGAAATCATGAGATTGAATTTAAAGATGTACGGAATTTTTTGGTTGAATTAATTGTCTATTAATGAAACATAATAATTTTAATTATTATTTAGATAATCGGTAAATATACCAAAATATGTAGGATAAAAGGTATTCAAATACCAACATGTACTGAGCTGTCGAATATAGCATACGATCTCGCGTCGTCTTCAATTGTGTCGATGGATCCGAGTAAAGATATTTATGCACAAATTAAGTTCAATGGTAACGAAGAAGATGTGAACATGGTGTTGAGTGATGACATATTCTTTCGAGATCTTGTTAGATGCTAAAATATGTAAATCATAATGCATTCCTTTTATCGTTATGCATTATATCATTTGTATCGTGCGACTGACATTCATACTCTTATAATCGATATTAAAACCAATAGTAATTTTAAAACCTGCTTTTTTACGTTAAATTATTATCCCTTAAACCGTATATTTTAGTGTACAAATTTGTATGCTAAAAATTTTTTAAAGAAAATTAAAGCTCTACTAGAAATTTTTTTTAGTAAAGCCTTTGTTATAGTGACTTTCAGAAACGCGGTCACGTGGACACTTTCAAAATTTTGACAGTAACCATGATATCAAATTGCAAAATTTTATAAAAAACTGGAAAATTTTGGATTTAGCCAGCATTACGAAATTAACATATAATTTAAGTCATGTCACATTGGGATGCGCTGTTGGCTATGTAAATCAAAAATGGTGAATTATTAGTAAAATTATAGTTATGGTTGAAGCTGAAGCTGGAAATTTTAATTATTTAATATGAAATTGTTAAATCTTTTGAGTTATAGTGCGCAATATCTAATCACATCAAAAAATTTTTAATTTTTTTTTTTAAACTAAATAACTAAGAATAATATAATTTTTATTTTAGTTTATTTTTTTGATATTAAGGTGAGATTTTACTTATATCTTTATTAGTAATTTAAAATAGTTACATATATATATGCTATGATTGAAGCTAATACTTGCAATTAGAGTTAACCATTAAACTGTTAATTATACAGTTATTACTATTTTTTTTAATGTTAAGATAATCTTTTGATCTTTTGATTTTTATTAATAATTTTTTTGGTAATGTGATTCTATAAACTATTACAAAAGAGTATACAATTGACTATATGTATAACTTTTCTATATTATCTATTTAAAGAGTTTGCCTAAAGGTTCTTCACTAATTGTTGTACTTAACATCTTTATTTAGATATTTTACTATAAACTTTTTGAACCTATAATCTGTATTAACTTATTAGATTATATTCAAATGTTCAGATCATTGTCTCAACTTTAAAACTATTTTATTTTTTTTAAGTTAAACTTTTCAAAACCTTTTATATCTATTTTTATAATTAAACTAAGTATTACTATAGTAGAACTAATACTTGCAATCAGAATTATATTATTTAACTGTTATATTCTTGTAGAGTTTATACAGACTCTAGTATTTACTTTATAGTATAATTTTAGTATTTTAGTATATTTTTGTTTTTTGTCTAACTTTTTGTTTAAACTTCTAATTCAGATAGTATGTATAGAACTATGATCAGTTTATCAATATATTAGATTAGCTTGATATTCTTTTTTTCTAATTTATTCTAGTAACCTGATTGGTGATACTTTTAAAATTTTTAACCCAAAGGTTTTTACTTATCTAGATACTACAACTGAGTACTATGATCTTAGTATCTATTTTCTTGAACTAGTCTTTATAGTAAGGCAAATCTGTTTATTTATTTATTTAAGTTTTCTTAAATAAATTTCTTGTTATTCAATTTTAATAAATTTATATAGTTATAAGAACTTATCTAGTATTTGCACTATCTAATTTGTCAATTTGTATTTTTCTGTATAATTAGTTATACAAATATTCTATAACTTGTTAATTAAGCTAGTACAATTGCCATTATAGATATCTTAATTTAATCATTAGTAACAATTGTCATAATATAACTATTATATAACTGATTATTTAAATTTTTACTATTAATAGAATTTGAATATCCAACCTACTACTTGAAGAATTGACAACCTGATCACTTTACTAGATTGTCATAGTTCTGTTATTACTATTTGGTTTATTTTTTAGTATTAAGATAAGGTTTTGCTTATATCTTTATTAATAATTTTAGTTATATATATATATATTTTTGTATTAAAAAAGTCATATTTTGTGGCAATACTTTATTGACTTTTATTAAGTTAGTTATTACAACTATTTTTACAAAGATGAGAATACAACTAATTATATATATAACTTTTAATTGCTTATTTAAATAGTTTATTTTAGAGTTCTATACTAGATATTATATTTATAATCTATTAGAAGATTATTCATTTAAACTCTCTGATTATTTGCTCTGTTATAATGTAACTTCAATTAATCTTCTATATATATTTAACTAGTATACTGTCTAAGCAGTATAGTACCTATCTTTTTTGTACTAATTTCTAGGCTGTTATATATTTCAGAGTATGTTATCTGTCAATAAGATGCAAGAAGCTCTTTATTGTTAACTATTTACTTATTTTTAAAATACTAACAAGGATTATCTTTACAGAGTTTACTCAGACCCTGCTATTGATTTTATAACATATTCCTAGTACTTTTAATATACTTCTGCTTTAATTTCAGACTTCTAATCCAGATAGTCTAAAAGAACTATAACCTGTTCTTGATATATTAAGACTAGCTCAATATTATTTTCTTTAATTTAAAATCTAGTAGCCTGATTGGTAATACTGTAATAAAATTTACTAAAAATTATCAAGCTGTAGTAATTTTTAATAGCACAAGTGCCAAGTAAAAGATCTTTTATTTAAAGAAAAATAAAATAAATAAAAATAACTAAAAATAAGAAATAAATATTTAAA